GAGATCGTGACCTGAGCCGAAGTCGGATGTTTAACCGACTGAGCCACCCAGGCGCCCCTCTTCACATGTTTTAATACGCTTCCCCAACATCTCCACCATAAACCTACAAATGGCAGCACTGTTTTGTATAACCGAGACATCTGAACAACCCAAATGTCTATCAGTGGAGAAATGGCTAAATAAAATTTTATGGAGTGATACTAAGAAGTACCGTGTAGCCATTACACAGAACGAGGCAGAGAAACCTATAGATGCTGACGTGGGAAAAGGTCCAAGCTCTACAGTGACACAGAACAAGTACACTGCGGGTAGTAGGTTTCTTTCTAGGAGTTTAACAACAAAGGCAGTGAACACACACCCCAGAACCTCTGTAGGTACGTGCGTGGAGATGGCCATATTACACACACATATTACAGGCCCGGGCCTGGAAAGGTCTGGACACGCCCGCCGGGCGGCTCACCGCCCCAGCCCCAGGGGGACCTTGGGACAGGGCAACCACTCGCTCAGGAGCAAGGCCTCAGACGCCGCCGCCCGACTTGTCACAGCGGCGGGAAGGACGTACGGAGCGCCGAACACCTGCTCGTCCTAACCGCGCCTGGCTCTCCCGGGGACCTTCGGGGCCGAGCGCCACCGTGTGCGCCGCAGAGATGGCAGAACCCGGGCTCAGAGCGTCCCCACCTCCCCAGCCCCGCCCGGTCCGCGTCTCCGTCGCGTCCCTGGTTCCACTTCGCGGGAGCCGTCGTGTCTGGACCCCCAGGTGGCATCCTTTTGCTGTCAGCAACGCGTGCACTGCGGCACCTGCAGGCAGCCTATAGCCCATACCCGCGGGCGGGACACGTAACCTCCACCAGCCTCAGTTTACCAGTCTGAAACACAGGGACCACGGGGACAGGCACGAGGGGATTTCATGGGGCTTATTAGGAGTGAGCCTCTTTTTTTTTGTTTGTTTTTAAAGTTTCTTTCTTTCTTTTGAGGAATCTCCACCCGCAAGGCGGGGCGCGAACTCACCACCCCACCGGGAGATCAGGACTCCCACGCTCCACCCACCGATCCGGCCGGGCGCCCAGGACCGAGCATTTTTAAGACGTAAAGGACACGTGGTACAAGAACCCTGGGATTCCGGACGGCACCTCTTTGGGTTTGCGTCGTGAGTGGATGAGATCGTGGAGAGGGTGCTGGCGGGGCCCGAAGCGGAGGGCGGCCGTGCGGGGTGCGTACACGACACGACAGGACGCGCGACAAGGGCTCCGCGCAGCCGGGGTCCCCGGGGTCCCGTCCACCTCCGCTCGGGGACGCCGGCCCTCCACGCCCTCCAGTCCCGCACATCGCCCCCACGTTCGCAGGGCGCACCGGGGGCTCCTCCCCGTCTGAGCGCTTCTGCAACCGTCTCCCGACCTCTGCTTGCGGTCTCCGCTCCCCTGCTCTGCACCCCCCCTCCCCTGCCTTCCTCTTTCCTCCCCTCTCCTGCGGACTTCCCTCCCCTGCCCTCCCCTCTCCGCCCCTTCGGACTTCCCTCTCCTGCCCTCCCCTCTCTTCCCGTTCCCTGCCCTCCCCTCCGCTCCCCAGCCCTCCCCTGCGGCCGCCCCTCCACTCCCTGGCCGCCTCCCCTGCTTTCATCTCCCCTGCTCTCTCCTCCCCTCCCCTGTGGTCTCCCCTCCCCCCTCTTCCCCTCCCTCAGGCGTCCCGGAGACCTCCCCACCGAGCTAGCAGAGCGGGCCAGCCCCCGCCTTCCTCCAGGCCCCGTCGCCTCTCCTCCGCACTCCGCGGGCTGCAGCGGCCGTCCCCAGACCACGCCCCTCGGAATCCCGCCGCGCCCTCCCTGACCACGCCCTCCGGCTTCCGGGGCGTCCTCGGGCCACGCCCCTCCCAAGCGCAGCTCCCGAGACCACGCCCCTGGAGAGTCTCGCCGCGCCCTCTCAGACCACGCCCTCCTAGACCACGCCCCCGCGCTCCCGCCGGGTCCCAGGCCACGCCCCTGATCACGCCTCTCCGAGTCCCGGCCGCTGCGCGCCCGCCTAGCGCTCCGCCCTGCAGCGCGCCCCGCGCGAGTCTCCCCCGCGACCGTGGGCCTCGGCCGCCCGGAGCTGGACGCGGGCTCGCTGTCCCCGCAGCCCCTCCGGCCACAGGTTCGGGACCCCGGCCCGCGAGCTGCAGCCGCGGCCCTGAGAATGCCGCGCCTCCTGCCGAGGGCGCCCGGCACGCGGCCCCTCGGAAGACAAAGCTGCTTAGTGCTCGCCGCGTCCCGAGCAGGTGGGAGAGAATGATCTCTTAGGCGGCGGAGGAGCCCCCAGCAGCCGCGTCCCCCGGCGGGGCTGGGGGCAACCCCGGGGCAGCCCCCGCCCCCAGCTTCCCCCTACCCGCCGGCTCCCTTGCGCCGGGTTCGGCTTCGTCATTCCCGGGGCCGCGGCCTCGGGCTCGGCCTCTGCTAGGAGCTGGGACAGAGGATGACCCGGCGGCCCCCAGATCCCCGGTCGGGAGAAGGCTCGTCCTACGGGGACACGCGGGAGGGAAGGGGCTGGGACTGAGCGCTTGGCCAGGGTGTCATTCCCGACCGCCTCGACGGTGAGCAGGGCTTACACGGGTCAGGACCAGAGAGAAACACCCGGCCGCGCTCGGGCTCAGGATCGGATTTCACTTAGGAACCAGGCTTGCGGAGTTGCGGCAAAGAGGTCGGTTAGGAGGTCACCCCAAGGCCTGCGGAGCTGCCCCTGGGGAGGAGGGAATCGCAAGTCCTGGAGAAGCCAAGTCTTGGGGACAGGGAAGGTGGACGGGTATATAGGTGGCCTTCCACAGTCCCACGGTGGAAAGTCCCAAGGGCAAGGGCGCCTTAAAGGCTCAGCTCCCATTGTCTGGGGAGAGGGCGTGGGGAGGCCGGAGGAAGGGACCCCAGCACAAGCATCACCTGCAAGGCAGCCTTGCCCAGAGGTCTTAACAGGACCATTTTGTACATCAGAGACTGCCTCCCCGCCCCCCAACCACACAGAATCAAGCTATTTTTCCAAGGAGAGGGCACATCCAGCCAGAAGGTGCTTCCTCCCTTTGGGGATCTCAGCCCAGGATCTCCCCAGAGCCTCCCTCCCTTCCCCTCTGCAGGGGCGGGGGGGGGCACCAAGGAAGTATTTCCCACTCTGGGGGAGTAAAGAACAATGGCTGAGACCCAGATTTCCGGGGACCCAGGAACCTAATGTTGAAAATGGTTGACAAACCCCTTTCAGGGGGAGATTTGGCCTCGTATTCGGGGTGAACAGAGATGTTCTTGAATATCTTCTCCACCACGAGCCAAGCACCGTGCTAAGCTTTCACGCTGCCCTCACAGCCACCCTCCCGCCCCCCCGGAAATAAGCATTGTCCCCCCTGTTTCAGAGACAGGGACACTGACGCTGCCGGTGGTGAGATGACAGGCCCCAATCACACAGCCGTTAAGGGGCAGAGTCAGAATTGCAAAGCGATCTTGACCGCCTTCAATTTTAGCAGGAGAATGACTCCAGATACGGTACCTAGGAAAGGTGTGAAATGCTCGGTAGGTTTTGTGAGGCCGCTAAGGACGGACACGGACCCACTCTCAGGTCCGGTGAGCGGTGGCTTTCCGGCTGGACCGATGGGGACCGTACCTGGGCGTCTCTGCCCCGGCCCGGGTCCGAACCTCCTGCTTTCCCGCTGCCCCAGCAGGCTCCACTGGGAGCACTGGGCAGGAGGCCAAGGGGACTCCTCCCCCGTGGGCCTCCCGTGTTCCTTCTTGGGCCTCCAGGTCCCGGGCATGCCACCCCCAGTCTGAAGTGTTCATCCCGGTTCGTGGTCTGTCTGGCCTCCTCGTCACAAGGCCGCATCCCCAGAGACATTAGCCCCACGTGGACGGGGCCCCTTTCAGGAGCCCACCCCCCAGCCAAGGCTCAGCGCCCACAGAGCAGCGCCCTCTCGGAGGTCCCTGTGTGAGAAGTTTCCACATTCTCCTGATTCCTGCAGCCCTGGGAGGCTGGCCTTTTCCAGCAGTTGCTGCCTTCATGAAGCCTCACGGTTTTCTCCTTACCTTTCGGTTACTAGCTAACGAGTTTTTCTTACGTGCTTAACACTCCTGTGGTTTTTTTTTTTTTTTTTTTAATTTTTTAATGTTTATTTATTTTTGAGACAGAGAGAGACAGAGCATGAACGAGGGAGGGGCAGAGAGAGAGGGAGACACAGAATCGAAGCAGGCTCCAGGCTCTGAGCTGTCAGCCCAGAGCCCCACGCGGGGCTCGAACTCACGGACCGCGAGATCGTGACCTGAGCCAAAGTCGGACGCTTAACCCACGGAGCGCCCCCCAGGCATCCCAAGACTCTTTTAAAATAAATGTCCGTTGTGACACTTGCGGTGACTTCTGTCTCGGGACCAGGCGTGGGGTGTCCGGGGCTCTCCCGCCCCCTCCTGCCCAGGCCCGAGTTTTGTGGCCGCGGGAGGGACAGCACGACACAGTGGGCTGTGATTCAGAGCCTCCGCTGGACCCCGGAAGCCAGGAACCCTTCCACAGTTGCTTCTGAGTGATGAGTGTGTGGTTAAACCAGTTAATTCCAGGGACATCGATCGGCCCCTTTGCTGCTGCGCTTCGGATGTGAAGCGACTTCCTTGATTGGAAGCAGTGTCGCGTGGAAGGTTAGGACATGAGCGAGGCAGGCCCATGCGTGGTGGTGCCGGGGACCCCTTCCGGGCGGGAAGGGCAGTTCCGTGTCCAGGATCTGGGTAGAATCTGCGGGGGACAAGTCTCTGCCCCTTCCACGAGGGGAAGGGACCGGTGTCATCAGCCTGCTGCTAGGAGGCCGGCCGGGCCCCGCGTGGTCGGTCTCTGCCGCTGGCACAGGGACAGCAGGTGGCCCCGTCGGCACTGGGGAGGGGAGGCCACGCAGAGCCCCACACCTGCCACCACAGCCGCTCGGTTGCCTCGTCCCTGGGACAAGACGCTGACTGATGCCCAGAGGACGAGTTTCCTCACCCGTCAGGAGCCTCTTCGGCAGTGGATGCCCTCCAGGGGGCAGTCGCGTGGGACACAGGTACCCTGACATGCCTTGTGCATTTGGAGAGACCCGTCGGGTCCTTCCCCCAGCCTCCTCGTCACCAGTGCCCACCATATTCCCTCCCTACCCTCCCCCCCCAGCAGACCTGTGCGGATCCACACTGCTGGCCGTCTCTCAGTCCAGACAAATGTGCCTCGGAGCGCTGTCCCCGGGGCAGGATCCCTGTCACCAGCGTCCGCCAGGGCTTCCCCGGACGAGGGCTGGAGGGCTGCCGCTGTCCCCTTGCTGCCCATTCCTGCGGAACCATCCGTAAACTACACCCGAATTCTTTCCCTCTCAGCTGATTACAGGACTTTTCTTATCTTTTCTTTTTTCTTTTCTTTTCTTTTTTTTTCTTTTCTTTTCTTAAGTTTATTTATTTTGAAGGAGAGAAAGAGAGAAACCCAGGCAGGCTCTGCGCCGTCAGCACAGAGCCTGATGTGAGGCTCGAACCCACAAACTGTGAGATCATGACCTGAGCCGAGATCGAGAGTCGGATGCTCAACCGACTGAGCCTCCCCACCGCCCCCCCAAGGCGTCCCCAGGCCTGAGGATTACCGGATCTGCTCTACATCACCCGGTCCAAACAGAAGAGGACCTTGCCCCGCCCCCTGCCCTGGCCGCAGAACCTTCTCGCTTGCTCCGGTCCTCACTCGAAACTCTCGCCTCCTGTATTTCTTTACAACGACCCCCAATTTTTTTACCTGCACGATCCCAACCTCACGCTTAGCAGTGGTGTCTGGGATGGACTGATTGTATTTCTCCTTGTGTGTAAAACAAATACTTGATTGAAAATAAGAAGTTTCCATCTGAACGCTCCCTGAAATACCCAGGGCCCTGCAGTCCCCCCTGGGGACACGCTCGCAGGGGCGAGGCGGGGCAGGACGGGCACAGCTGTTTGACCGCACTTTTCAGTTCTTGTTTCTTGGAAGCAGCTGAAATCTGACTCTGAGCCCTTGGCCACCAAGGTGGGCAGAAATTTGATTTCGGCTGTGATGGCAGATGGGCCACCCTAGGTTCTTCTAGAACTAATGCCAGTCCCACATCGGGGGGGGGGGGCCTAGTTACCATCCCCCTGAACCTGGATGGACCCACGGCTCCCCTATAGTCAGCGGAAAGCCGCGGAAGTGACTCTGTGCCACGGACTGTGACGCAAGGTGCACCTTGTGAGAGCCCGAGGCACCGGGTAGGCAATCTGACGCCCCTGAAGTGACCCGGCCCCAGGAGAGCCCTCTTCTGGGACCAGGCGTAAGCGACAGTCTTACGGGACCCAGGTCACCCCCAGCCTGGAGCCCCAGCCATCTCGGGGTAAAAACAAGCGGCCTCCCTGTGGGTTTGTTCTAAAAAAAATCTTTTTTAATTTAATGTTTATTTTTGAGAGAGACAGAGACAGAGCGTGAGCAGGGGAGGGACAGAGAAGGAGACAAAGAATCCGAAGCAGGCTCCAGGCTCTGAGCCATCAGCACGGAGCCGGCCGTGGGGCTCGAACTCAAACCGTGGGTTTGTTTTTTTCTTTTTGAAAACTCCCGCCCCGCAGGAACCGTCTGCCTTCAAGACAAATGGTTGTTTTGTGCCACCAAGTCTGGGGGGTTTCTTACACGGCAGTAGGTGTGGGAGACCCTTCCCGGTGGCCTTCTTTAGGTGACCGTGGGGTCACTCCCTCAGGACCCATTGTCCCCTCGCCCCCAGCGGAAAGCTGCCTTGTGTCCAGGCTCTGGAGGTGGACATCGAGGCTCGGGGCCAACGTTGCCCACACAGTCCCCACGTCGGCACAGTCTCGGGCCCGGGGCAGGGGCCTGTGTGACTCATTTGGAGCCGATGACAGTGGAGAGGATATGTGATGGGAACTTTTGCATTTCAGGTTTTATTTTTAAGTAATCTCCACGCGCAGTGTGGGGCTCGAACTCACAACCCGGAGACCAAGAGTCGCACGCTCCACCCACCCGGCCAGCCAGGCGCCCCCGATGGGACCTTCTGAGAAAACAATGAGGATTTCTCCCTCTTTGGAGACAGATTCCACAGGTGCCCCCACACACGTACGCAGCCCCCCACCCCACGGCCAAAGAAGAGGCGCTGACGACTTCGCCGTGACCGTGAGAGGGAGCCAGCTTTCAGAGGAAAGTTAAGAGTGTCGAAACCAGATTCGAGGCAGAAAACAGCAACAAACCAGGCCCCAAAAGGGAGAGCTGTGCCCCTAAATCAAACCCAGCCTGAAGCTGTCTCTAAGTGACCGCAGGTGCTGAAGCCGGGGGCACGTTGTCGTCTCTCAACCAAGGAAACGGGGCACGAGGAGGCATTTAAACTAAACACGTCCCATAAGAATCCCAGGACTTGGGGTGCCCGGGGTGGGGGGCTCAGTCGGTTGAGCATCTGACTCTTGGTTTCAGCTCAGGTCACGATCTCACGGTTCTGTAGGTTCGAGCCCCACGTCAGGCTCCACACTGACAGTGCAGAGCCTGCTTAGGATTCTCTCTCTGCCCCTCCCCTGCCCGTGCTCTCTCTCTCTCAAAATGAATAAACGTTAAAAAAATAAATAAAATGGGGGCGCCTGGGTGGCGCAGTCGGTTAAGCGTCCGACTTCAGCCAGGTCACGATCTCGCGGTCCGTGAGTTCGAGCCCCGCGTTGGGCTCTGGGCTGATGGCTCGGAGCCTGGAGCCTGCTTCCGATTCTGTGTCTCCCTCTCTCTCTGCCCCTCCCCCGTTCATGCTCTGTCTCTCTCGTCGCAAAAATAAATAAATGTTGAAAAAAAAATTTTTTTAAATAAATAAATAAATAAATAAATAAAATGTTAGGGTAAAAACATTCTTTCTCCATCAGGATGCCCTTGCGTACAGAAGTGAGCCCCGCTCCGCGCGAGGGACGTCGGCATGGGAAACAAGCTAACAGAAGCGCGAAGAATGAGAGAGGGGCAGAGAGAAGTAGCCAGGGCCTTGGTGACGTCAGAAACCTCTGGAAGCCCTCTCCACCTCTGCACTGCTCAGTTATTAAGTTAATACACTGCCACGATGTTTTTTTTATCTAATTATTTTTTCGTTGTTTTCAACGGGTTTTCTTATTCATTTTTACGTAAGCTCTGCACCCAACATGGGGCTCGAACTCATGACCCCGAAATCAGGAGTCTCATGCCCTACCCGCTGAGCCAGCCAGGTACCCCAATAGGCTTTGTTTTCATTTCTCTATCATCTATCTATCATCTATCAATCACCTATCTATCTGTCTAAAGTTGGTCTCACTGCTCAGCACAAAGCCCAGCGCAGGGCTTGAACTCAGGACCCTGAGATCAAGACCTGAACTGAGACGCTTAACCGTCTTACCCACCCAGGCACCCCTAGGCTTTACATTTTTGAGTAGTTTTAGGCTCCCGGCAAAATTAAGCAAAATGTACGAAGGGTTTCCCTACAGCCCTGCCCCACACAGGCACGGCCTCGGTCGTTTGCTGTATAGTTCAGCCCACTGTGAAACCCCCCCCCCCCACCAGAGTGGGTCATTTGCTACAGTCAGTGACCCTGTGCTGACACATCGCAATCGCCCGAAGGCCGCAGTTTAGGGTTCATGCTTGGGCTGTACATGCTATGAGTCCACCATCATTATTGTTTTTTTTAATATTTATGTATTTTGAGAGGGGGGAGGGGCAGAGAGAGAGGGAGAGACAGGCTCCCAAGCAGAGATCAGCACAGAGCCCGACGCGGGGCTCGAACTTGGAACTCCCGAACTCCGAGATTATGACCTGAGCCAAAGTCAGACACTTAACCGACTGAGCCACCCAGGCGCCCCTTGATAAATTCTTATTTATTGAAAGACCTCCAGTCGAGAAATAGAGAAGTAATTATTGGGTAGGAATACACGGCACATGATTATGAGGACGTTCCACCAGATCCTATTCCCAAATTATAGTCTCTCTGCTAAATTCCAGAGCATTTATACTAGGAAGCATTGATTTTTTTTTTTTTTTTTTAATGTCATCAGATGCGTCTTTTTTGCAAATATTTTCTCCCCATCTGGGGTTTCTCTTCTCGTTCACTTGATAGCATCTCTGTCCCAGAGCAGAAGGTTTTAATTTTAAAGAAGTCTGGCTTCTCGATTATTTCTTTCATGGGTCACGTCTTGGATGCTGCAGCTAAAAAGTCATCACCAGGGGCGCCCGGCTGGCTGGTCAGTTAAGCGTCAGACTTCGGCTCAGGTCATGATCCCACAGTTGGTGGGTTCGAGCTTCATGTCGGGCTCTGTGCCGACAGCTCGGAGGCCGGAGCCTGCTTCGGATTCTGTGTCCCTCTCTCTCTCGGCCCCTCCCCGACTCACACTCTGTCTCTCGCTCTCAAAAATAAATAAATAAATAAATAAACATTAAAAACATTTAAAAATAATAAAAAATAAAATAAAAAGTCGTCCCCAGACCCCAGGTCAGCTAGACATGCTCCTAAGGGTAACTTCTGGGAATTTTAGTTCCACATTGTACATTTGGGCCTGGGATCCCGTGAGGGTTCGCTTTGGTGAAGGCTGGAAGGTCTGTGTCTCGCGTCCCCTTTTTTGCATGCGGATGTCCGGCTGTTCTAGCATCACTTGTTGGAAAGCACAATTGCATTTCGGTTTTTGAATCTGCAGACAGCCGTCCCCCGCCCCTTATCCTTGGGGCACACCTGCCAAGACCCCCAGGGGACGCCTGAGACCAGCTGGTTCTGAGCCCCACCCAGACTGGTACACACACACCTCCGAGGAGGTTTAATTTCTAAACTAAGCACAGCGAGGGGTGAACAACAGTAACTAATGATCAAACAGAATGATTATTACAATGTATTGTAGTAACAGGTATGTGCAGATGGTTTCTCTTTCTCTCTCTCTTTTGCTTTCAGAATATCTTAATTGTCCTGTGCTCCCCCCCCTCCCCCAAATCTTGTGACGATGTGAGACGATGAGATGCCCCCGTGGTGAGGTGACGTGCGTACCTGACGGAGCACTGGGCTACCGTTGACCTTCTGAGGCTGAGTCAGAAGAAGGACCATCTGATCCTGACTGTGGTTGACCACGCGTCGCCGGGCTTCGGGGACTTCCGGAAGTTTCCGTGAGCATTTCTGTACAGGTTTTGCGTGAATATAAATTTTCATTTCTCTAGGGTAACTACGCACGAACGGGTCCCTTTATCTTTTAGGTCAGTTTAATTATTTGGGGTTTTTTTTCTTTATTTTTTTAAGGTTCTATTTTGGGGGCGCCTGCGTGGCTCAGTCGGTTAAGCTTCTGACTCTTGATTTCTGCTCGGGTCCCGATCTCATGGTTTGTGCGATCGAGCACCGCATCCGGCCCTGCGCTGGTGGCGTGGAGCCTGCTTGGGATTCTCTCTCTCCCTCTCTCTACCCCTCTACCACTCACGCTGTCTCTGTCTCTCTCAAAATAAATAAAATTTAAAAACTTGAAGTTTACATACTTATTCTCCAGGGAAGGACGCTTGCTCGTGGGGCCCAGGCCCCAGGCGGGGAGAAATCCCAGCAGCCCCGTGGCAGGTTCACGTGCAGGTGCATGGCCACAGGTGCAGCTGAGGTCCCAGCCAACAAGCAGCGTGTGATCGAGCCGTCCTCTCGGTGATTCCGCCCCCAGCCTTTGAGTCCAGGCCCAAGCCGATGCCACAGAGGAGAGACCAGCTGTCCCCGGCAAACCCTGCCCAAATAGCAGATTTGTGAGCAAAATAACTTGACGCGAAGTCCTGGGGCGTTCATTCTGCAGGAACAGGCAACCACAGCAGGACCCCTCTTCTGTCCCCGGCTCTCTCCTGCAGGCCTCTCTCCTGTGCCCCCCCCCCCGCCCCCCACCGGGGCACCCAGCTAAGGCCAGAAAGGACAAGGTGGTAACTTACTACCTTGCCAGGTGTGTCCCCAATACCCTCTCCCCTCCTCTATAGTCCCGTGGCCCAGTTCAGGTTAGCCCGTGCCGCGGGACCACATTGGGCCGCGTCCCTGGGAGCGAGCTACATCTGCCTGCTTCCATCCCAGACGACGGGGTGTGAGCGGATGTAACGCGTCTGCAGACGTCAGGCCTGGGGCACGTGCCCGCACGCCGGCTGGGACACAGATGGGCTGACCTCCCCTCCAGGGGGTGGAGGGACCACCGCACCCAGGAGACCGCGGTCCCTGAAGGAGGACAGCAGCGGACCCGTCCTGAGCCGCTCTGCTCTCCCCGCGTCGGTGCCTGGGACGGAGAGAAACCACGATCTTGCCCGAGTCGCTGCCTCGGGGTTTCTCAGTTACCCCGGCTTAGCCTCCACCCAAGTAATACCGGAAGTGAGTGTCTCGAGCCCGGTGAGCTGACCGCCGCTGAGACGCAGGGCACAGGAGAGCCCGTCTGCTTCCTTAACATGGGACAGGAAACACACAGGCAGGAAACATAGCTGGACACTCACCTGCTGTGAGGAGCCCCGCGTAGCAGGTGCCACCGAGGGGGCCGCGGGAAATCGGAAGGCGGAGAGAGAGAGCCTTCAGAAGGAGCCGTGAGCAAGGGTCCTGCGGAGACAGAGGCCGAAACCGAAGGCCAGAACCGGGGAGACGGAAGTGGGGGCCAAGGGCAGTCCAGATAAAGGAAGGAGAGGCACAGGGCTGACGCGGGAGGGCGCCCGATCCTTCGGGGGAGGCGCGGAGGCCACGGTACGCGGTTCAAAGGGCTCGGTAAACACCGAGGAGCCGGTGCCGTGGGGCTTAAACCCAACGTGGCCAATCCTCAACGATTCTTTCCTGTTTCTATTCGGGAACTGTCTGCAAACAAATCTCTACTTGATGAGCAGCTTAAGCGTAATTGCACCTCGTGTGTTACGTGCATATTTCACTGCTTTATTAAATCCTTCAAACAACATAGTTCTGGGAGGTGTAATTAACCTCTTGAGAACATTACCTCTCAACACAATAAATGAACCATACGCTTCGGTTAGTCTTTCGAAAGACCCCTCAGTCTGTGCGGTCTGCAGTGGCACTGAGTGGGGCCGTGTGGAGGACCCCATTCCCCACGCCTGAGTGACTGGGCCAGAGAGGGACACATGGCCCAGGCAGGGCCAATCAGAGTCCTCCCCTACGATCCACCCACAAAGGCAGGGAGGGAAGTTTGCAGGGGACCTAATCGCAGGACTCTAAAGAGGGGCTGCCCTACGGGGGAAGAGAGCCTGTTGTCAAAGCCGAGCAGAGATGACAGATGGACAGAGACCCAACGGTGCCGAGTCCCCGGAGCCCCTCCCCCACCTGTCCCCAGGCTCCTGCCCGACTCTCGGGCTAGTGCATTCCTCCCCAAGTTGCATTTCTGTCACTTGCCACCAAGAATCCTGGCTCAGCGTGACCCTTAGTGCGACATCTCAACAAACTTCCAAACCCTTGACTGCAAAACATACTAACATGTCACGAGCCACGTCCCCCAGGGGGACAAGCTGCCAAATAGCTATGACAAGGCCCTGACCGTAAGATGCATCCCGGTTTCAGAAACAGAAGAATAAGGGGGGAAAAGGGACTCCCTAGAACGGATAAAATATGGCAGCCGTGTGCCCGTGGATGCGTCACCGAGTCTCTGTCATCGTCAGTGTCCTCATCCACAAAGCAAGGACGATCATACCCACGACACAGGATCGGGAGGGTTAGAAATACAACACAGTGGAACTGTCTACACACAGACGTTCTTAGCAGCGTTACTCAAGAGTCAAAAACTGGAAACGCCGTCAACTGGTTGGAGGGGTAGGCGGAGCGGGGGCCCCCAGCGAGAAGCAGGAACGACACCATGCTGTGCCACGATGTGCCTTGGAAACATTCTGCACCGGAAAGAAGCCAGACGTGAGAGACAGCACATCGTAGAATTGATTTATGTGAAATGTCCGGAAAAGACAAATCTATAGAGACAGAAAATAGATGAGTGCTTGTCTGGGGCAGGAAGAAAGCAGGAGCGACAGAGAAGGGGCGTGAGGGATCTTATCTGCGCCGCAGACGCGTTCTACAAACCCACCCACCGTGACGGGGGCGCGGCCGGGCGATCTACTAAAAATTGGTTGGGGTGTATCCTCGAAATGAGTGAATCAGACAACATGGAAAACACGACTCGGTAAAGTGATTACTATTATTAGTTTTATTTTGAGAGAGAGAGGCTGAGCAGGGGAGGGACAGAGACAAAAGGAGACAGAGAGAATCCCAAGCAGGCTCCGCATCGATAGCCCAGAGCCCGATGCGAGGCTCGAACCCACAAACCGTGAGATCACGACCTGAAGTCAGGAGTCGGCCGTGCAACCGACTGACCCACCCAGGTGCCCCGATAAAGTTATTATTAAAGAACTAGATGTCGGGGTGCCGGGGGGGAGGGGGCTCAGTCAGTGAAGTGTCCGGCTCTTGGTTTTGGCCCAGGGCACGATCTCACGGTTCTCGAGTTCTAGCCCCACATAGAGCTCTGCACTAATGGCGTAGAACCTGCTTGGGATCCTGTCTCTCCCTCTCTCCGCCCCTCCCCTGCTCAGTCTCTCGCTCTCTCTGTCTCCCTCTCAAAATAAATAAAAGAGGGGCGCCTGGGTGGCTCAGTCGGTTAAGCGCCCGGCTTCGGCTCAGGTCACGATCTCGCGGTCCGCGAGTTCGAGCCCCGCGTCGGGCTCTGGGCTGATGGCTCGGAGCCTGGAGCCTGTTTCCGATTCTGTGTCTCCCTCTCTCTCTGCCCCTCCCCCATTCATGCTGTGTCTCTCTCTGTCTCAAAAATAAAAAATAAACGTTAAAAAAAAAAAAGGAAAAAAAATAAATAAAAGATTAAAAAAAAAAGATGTCAAGTGTCTAGAACAGACACGGTGGGTGCTCAAGAAACGGCGACCATCCTCTGACCCTGGGGTCCAGGTTCCTGACTCCACAAGGCCGCGCCTTCCTGGGCAGCTGGGTGGGAGGTGCGATGTCCTTTGACGTGCTGCAGGGGCTCCCTGGGGGGCACCCAGAGGAAGCACTGCTTCTCGAAACTGCTGTGGTCAGAGACCGCAGCAAGGCCCCGTCTCCAGAGAGCCGACTGGGGAAACTCCCTCCACCCTCCGCCACCCCCACACACAGACTGAGAGGCTGGTGACCTACGGTGTCTCAGATCCGCCCTGGACTCAGTAAAACTCACAGGAACACCAAGACACGAGGCTCATTTCACGTCCTGGAAAACGAGTCGCGTCCCCGAGACTCTGCAACCCAGGTGAACCTTAGGCTTGTGCGCCTCCTGAGGGCGGGGCAGCAAGGACGAGCCTCGGGACCTGTCCGCCCGTCGGTTTAGTGACCCTCAGCGTGTCCAGATGCTCGGACACCGCCAGGAACTTGTGACACCGTCCCAGAGAGACTCTTCTCGGAAGGCCGTCCAGCACAAGGCGGGACTCGGCTCCAGGAGAGGCCCTGGCCTCCCTTCCCTCCCCCTGCCCGGCCGCTGGACAGAAATGCGGGCTTCGGGATCAGGGAGCCCGCCAGGAACCACGGCGCGCTCTCTCTGCTGCAGACACCCAGCACGGGTCACCTTGTGGTGGACGACATTCTGGGACGCTGTGAGTGGCCACACCGCGCTGGCGGCTTCCTTCCCAGGGCTCCTTCCCGGCACCTGCTGGGGCCGATGGGGAACTGAGAGGCAAGGGTCAGAGCACCAGCAGCCATCTTGTGTCACGAGGCAGCCTCAAGAATGGTGAAGAATTAAATGAGAATTAAATGGTGAAGCCCGGGTTCCTGTAACCGTGGGGCTGCCGTCCCAGCCTGGAGTCCCTGCCTCCCGATAACTCCGTTCAAGTTGACGTCGTGTCGCACGAGCCGCGTCTTCCTGAAACACAGCCTGCCCGTCAGATAAACTTTTCATTCACTGACTTCCACATGCAGGACGATCCTGGGTGCTAATCAACGGTCCCCTAAAACGTTCTGTGCGAATCATCTCTCCGCAGATTCAGTCGCTGTTCCCCGTGGACTCACTTTATGAGTCTCAGGGAGGCCTTTGGGAGTCGGTATTCCATCGGCAGTGATGCCCTGCCCGTGTTGGCACAAGGCTTACAAATGCGTCACTGGCCGCTCGGGTGGGCAATGACTAAACAGCACTGGAGAGTCCTGCAGCGTCACTCGAAAGAGAAGAATCTTTCTGCCAGATGGGTGTAATTCCCACCCCTAACGTGTGTGCGACCTTGCAGTCAATAGAGCGGCCCACGGCTGAGGGGAGGTGACCCCGGGTCCACCCTGGAGGGTGGGGCCGGCGTTTTGGGTAGATGTGGCCTCAGAGGCAGGCCCCCGGCCCAGGCCAGGGGACATAGGAGGAGCGGGCTCACCCGAAGGCCCTCCCGGTCCTCCGGTAACTGCCCACCCTTGAAGCGGGTGCGTTGCAAGCCGGGAGGGTAGAGGCACAGCCCCTGAGCAGGTGCATCCGGGGCCCCTGAGCTGGCTGAAAGGAGCCCCTGGGGAGAAATTCCCAGAGAGCGCATCCTCCCTAGGACATTCACGGCCTCGGGTGTTATTAACAAGCATTTTAAAGGGGTCCAAGGTCAGATCCATTTAGGAAAAGTGCCCACACGGATCTCTCCAAGCCTTGCCCTCGCCCCAGTCCCACTGTTCCAGGACCCTGGGGGTGGGAGAGCGCAGGGCACCCTCAGGGGGCCTCTGCCCACCACGCAGGCCGGTGCTAGGTTAAGGTGCCGCTTCTTCCCAAGTCCCAGCTTCCTTTCGTTACCGACCACCGGGCACCGGGCACCGCGCTGGGCTCTGCTCAGCGCCCCGGGACCCAGGGTCGTAGGACGGCGGGTGGCCAGTGAGGCGCGAGGCAGGGGCTCCAGGCTCGGCCAGGGCGGCGCCCGTTGGGGTGCACAGATCCTCACGTGGAGGACTGCCAGCGGCACCCCTCCCCAGCACGCTCCCCGAAGGCGGATGGGAAGGACCAAGTTCCTTGTGTCCAGTGGGGCGCCAGGCCCCGCCCACAGCCCGAGAAGAGGAAGTAACTCTGGGGGCGGGGCCAGCTCTGCCCGAACGGGGGAGGGGAGAAGGGAGGAAGGGAGAGGGAGGAGGGGAAGGGAGGGGAGGGGGAAGGGCAGGAAGGAGGAGGAAAGGAGGGGGAGGGGAGGAGGAAGGGGGAGAGAGGGGAGAGGAGAAAGGGGGAGGGAGGGGCGCCCTGGGGTGCACAGGAAGCAAAGGAGAAATGCCACTTCCTTCTCCCCTGGCTACTTCCCTGTTTGGTAGTCAAAGAGATGAGCTCTCCTCGCCCAGCTCAGTCCCTGGAGACCGCTCTTGAGCTGAGTTGTGAGTTCGAGCCCCACACTGGATGTAGAGATGACTCAAATCTCAGAGGAGAAACAAAGGCGGGCAGGATTGGGAGGGGGGGCACACCCACCTAGGGGCAAATCAGGTGGCTTCCGGCAGCACTGGAACAGCACTACCCAGCGGCCGGGCCACCCATCCGGACACCCGCCCGGCCGCCGCCAGGCCCCAGCTCGCTGCCTTGCCCTAGGTCCTGTGGACGCTTCACGCCCCACAGAAGGCCTGTGCTCTCTGTCCCTCAAGGGGACACGTCCTTGTCTCTGCCCCTCAAGGCCGTGACTCCAGCCGCTGTCCCCTCTCCACCGGTCACCTCGGGCGGCAGGGACAGTGCCATTTCTCCCACTTCTCGGGCCACAGGAGCGCTTTCCAGCTCCCCTCCCTCCCAGCTGCCCGCTCCTCTGCTCCTCTCCCGTTACTGCGAAACTCTGCGTTACTGCGAAACTCTGCGGTGCGCCTCCCCCTTCCTCCTGGACCCACCCTGGGCTCCCCTCCTTGCCCCAACAGCAAGGCTCCTGCCACCTCAGCAGTGACCTCGTGGCCGCTGGACCACGTGCTCAGTCCTCATCGTCGACCTCGCGACAAGGGACAGGATGCCCACTCCGTCCTCCTGGCGACACCCTCTCAGGGGGTTGTGGGACACCACACCTGCCCGCCTTCCCACCGGGCTCCCCGCTCCTGCAGGCTTTCCCTCCCTCTGACTGGCTGTGTTATGGGGGGCCCGTGGCTCAGTCAGTCCGTGGACCCCTTCTCTCTCCAAGTCCCTCCCTAGATGGACACTGTCCAACGCAAGCCTAATATGAACCGCGTGTGTCCTTTAGCATTTTCTAGGGGCGCCTGGGTGGTCGGTTAAGCGTCTGACTCCCGACTTCAGCTCATGTCATGATGGCGGGTCACGGGATGGAGCCCCGAGCAGGGCTCCGAGAAGCCTGCTTAAGATTCTCTCTCTCCCTCTCTTCTTCCCCACCTGTGCCCCCTCTCTCTCTCTCTCTCTCTCAAAATAGAATATAAAATAAAATCAATTTTCTAGGAACCAGGTTGGAAACGTAAAAAGGAAACAGCAAGGGGCACCTGGGTGGCTCAGTCGGTTAAGCATCCGACTTCGGCTCAGGTCACGATCTCGCGGTCCGTGAGGTCGAGCCCCGCGTCGGGCTCTGGGCTGATGGCTCAGAGCCTGGAGCCTGGAGCCTGTTTCCGATTCTGTGCCTCCCTCTCTCTCTGCCCCTCCCCCGTTCATGCTCTCTCTCTGTCCCCAAGATAAATAAACGTTGAAAAAAAAATTAAAAAAAAAAAAGGAAACAGCGAGATTGATTTTAAGACTACATTAACCCTAGGGGCACCTGGTATCCGATGTAAAAATTATTGAGATACTTTACTTTCTTGTACTAAACCTCCGAAATCCAGTTTGCATTGAACACCTGCAGCGTCTCTCAATGTGGACACTAAATTTTCACTGGACTTTTTAAGTTTATTTTTCGTAATCCCGACACCAAGACGGGGGCTCAAACTCACCACCCCGAGGTCAGGAGTCCCGTGCTCTTGCAAGTGAGCCAGCCAGGCGCCCCTCACTGGAAACTCTTTTTTTTTTTTTTTTTTAATGTATATTTATTTTTGAGAGGCAGAGAACGCGTGCGGGAGGCGCCCAGAGAGGGAGACACGGAATCCAGGCTCCAGGCTCCGAGCTGTCAGCACAGAGCCCGACGCGGGGCTCGAACCCCCTGAACCGTGAGACGGTGACCTGAGCCGAAGTCGGAGGCCTAACCGACTGGGCCCCCAGGCGTCCCTCCACTAACTTCAAGTGCTCAGTAGCCACAGGAGGCTGGTGGTTCCCGCAGGTCACAGCGCGGAGCTAGATAATCCCAGCAAACTGTGGCTGTCAACGCCAGGAGGGCTGGCGGCCCGCGCATCTCCGCACCGCAGACCCGTCGGACCGGTGTCTGCTCAACCCTGCGCCTGGATGTCTAACGGGTGCCTCGGCCCGGCCTCTTCAAACCGGGCTCCCACAACTAGCAAGGCGCTTTCCCCGACCCAGTTAATGACAACGACTCTCTTCCGGTTGCTGAGGCCCAAACCGTAGTGCTCCTGGACTCCCTTCCCTCACTCCTACCTCCTATCTGGCGCGGCCAGAAGCCCTTCGAGAGACTTCCAGAATCCCACCGACCACTTCTCCTGTCCCCGTCACCCTCCTTGGCCACGCCTGGTCGGCTCTCCTGGGATTGGGATTTGTTCTGAGGACCTTCCGTCTGGGCCGGCAGCTCCGGGCGCGGCTCCTGCCGACCGTTCCCCACTCAGAACGCTGCCTGGAAAAGAAGTCACACTTGTGCCCCGCTCCGCTCACAAGCCTGCAGGGCTCCCAACTCCCCCAGCAGAGAGTCAGCGGTGGCCCACAAGGCCATCCAGCGCGTGACCCTGCCCTGGTGCCCCTCCACCCCCAGCTCCTGCTGCTCCCGCCACACTGCCCCCCCCACCTCTCCCCCCCGCGGTTCTGGAGCGCGACGGGCCACCACGTGTCTCTCTCTGCATGACTGCCTCCTTCAGGCCTGTCCTCAAACTCCACCGTCGCCTTCCCAGTCACCTACCTGAAAGCCACCTCTCTCCTGTGAGCACATTTCCTATCCCCCCCTTCCCTGCTGCTTTTCCCCTAGCCCTCGTCGCCAACATGTGGCGCATTCCACTGAGGCTAGTCTGTCTCTGCCATCACAACCTCCGCTCGATCCCCAGTGCCCGCAACGGTGCCCTGGAACCTCTGAGGCCCCGCATACACCTTTTGAACGAACGGATGGAGTCGCAGGCGGGGAGAGCCCTGGCGCAAACCCGGGGGCGGCTGCTACCTTCCGAGGCCTGGAGGCGGGGAGGCCTCGCGCGCCGGAACTGCCCTCTGCGGGAGGGCGGCGGGGCTGCGGGCGAAGGGGCTGCGGGGAAGGCGGGGGCGGCGACCGCCTCCGGGCCCAGGGGGTCCGGGCGGATCCGGAAACTCGGAAGCAGCAGAGCGCGGCTTTCAACGCCAGGTGGGGGGGGGG